CACCCACACCACACACCACACACCCACACGCACCAACACGCACACACACACACACCCACACACACACACACACCCACACACACACACACACACTCTGACACTGAAGAAGTGTTGTCTGCACTCCCGGATGGATTTCGTAACGGGTTTTACACTAGATGATTCTGTTGATAGCTGTGTCTTGTGTGTGGAGCCATCTTGCATGAAATAGATTGCCGCAACCGTGCATATGTATTCAGCTCAGACACTCAACGCAGAAGCTGCAAAGCTGACCCGAAAGATATCGTCACTGCGGCCACTGTAGAAGCAACAGCGTTCTTCGGGGTACTTACGCGCGCACGCACGCACGCACACAGACAGAGAGAGCTTGGGAAGCAAATAGAGGGAGCTTTGCATGTCGGAGCACGCTGTCTCCATGTCTGTACATGCTAATCCACAAATCTCGGCGTCGGCTTCTTCGCAGGCGGACTTTGCGCAAACCCCATTGCCCTGGCATGCTTGGCACTTCAATTGGTACTAGTCGCAGGCCCGGGATTTTGTTTAACTTGGATTTACCGGACTAGCTTGCAGCGATGGGGAGTTTTCAGAGCAAGCACAAGCCTTTGTTTTGACTCAAAGCATTCTCGCGAAAACTCCTATCCTAAGGCATGCAATCTCGGAAAACGTGCAATATCCACCTCCAGAACCCCCGGTGGTTCTTTACGTGACCTGCTGTGGCCCTTCGACATGCCCGAGCAGCCAGGCCTCTTCTTTGCGAGCATGGCCTCGGAAAAAACTATGCTACTTGGATTGTCGGGCTGCTAGGATTAGGCTCCCGTGGTCGCCCTCCGAAGGCCGACTTTGAGGGGAGGGGCCGACATGTAAAGTCAAGGTGTGCACATCCCTGAACCATCTGTTGCGGAGGAGGTATGTGGTAGGGTATTTAGAGTCAGAGGTTTGTAGAATCTTCTTGTGGTCAGGCATCGGGTGTCTTTAGGGTTTGGGATTTTTGTTAACAGCCCACTGCCGATGTACCATGCAAACTCCATAAGCAGAGGCCCCGAGAATGCGGCCTGCAACTGCTGACGCTTTTCGTCCAGTAGCGGGTCTTGCTGACGAGCGCCCTGTCGAAGCTGCCGCTGCATTTCTGCACTTCACTGTCTGACATCGGAACTTGACCCTAGAATGCTGACATGGGAGCATGTACCAATCCCGAAATTCAAAAACATTTTCCCTAACCTGGCCGCCAATTCTAATTCCCCCAAAACCTAAACCTGAATTGTAAACCGCGGAATCTAGCTCTCACGACAGCCTGTGGGGCTTCTGCCATGCCGACGGTTCCTGGCAACCAGGGATACAATGTACGGGTGGGTGGGTGGTTTGTAGGCTGGGTGGGTGGAGTCAGATGATGGTGCACGGTTGTTGCTACCATTGTTGATGCAGTCCTATTATCACCGCCCTGGCTGCTATAAGCTTTACCCCGAGTGGCACGTACTGACCGTATCGGGACTCGAATTGCTCTTGTGATCTTCCTGCTCACGGTCAGGACACAAGCCTTTTAGTCACAGTAGGATCGACATCTGACAGGACAAACCCTGATCCTAAGCGGACCTGAAACCTAAACTGGGCCCAAACCAGAACAGAGCCCGATGCCCCAGCCTTCCGGCCTGCAACTGAGCCCTCAAGCTTGATCTCCAACCCATACACTCTACATCCCTGCAACCGCAGGTCTCTGCAGCGGCCCGGGTCTGGGTTTCATGCGCAAGGGGTTTCAATGATTCTCTGGCCTTGTCGAGAGGCCTACCTGGTCCATGCATGTGGGCAGGGCAGAAAAATTCCGAAATTCGCGACGTCCAAAGCTGAATACAGGGCTGGGGCGTTTCCACCAAACAAGGTGGTGTTGGGTTTTGCACGTTAGGAGTCGGGGGATTTGTTCAATAATCGCATGAGTTGCCCAAGGCAGGTGCCCGGCGGTCTTCGTCTCCCGCAGTGGCGGTGTAACTAAAAGCACGCTCTTTCCACGGTCCCGCGCCGGCCCCTTCAGCCGGCAACACCGATATCACTGCAGAACGCACGACTTTTGCGCTTGCGAATGTTGATACAATTTCGCTCCTGTTACAGTGCCGTGCGAATGTTGAAGTCTTTTCGGGGGGAGCTGTGAAGCTCCAAGGGCCCGCAATCCCACCCTTAAAACGAGGCTTCGGAGTCTGGCGAAAAACGACTCCTGTTCTGGCCGCGCAGTGTGGCGCGCACTCTGGAGTATGGGGTGCATCAGAGGTGCTGCTGGATCGGTTCTTGGGTAGGGCTTGGACTGGTTTGGCGCTCTTTCGCTTTTCGAGGTCTGTGCTGGCATAGGTCTGTAACAAGCTTATAACGGCTGCCAGAGGATTGTGGAGTAAAAGCGACCTGCCCCACGATGTTCTCGGTGCTTGTCTCCAGCCGACTCTTGGCACGATACATTCTAGCATGATACTTAGTATTACTTGGTATGGTGATCGAAGCTATGGTCCGGGTTCTGGCGATGCCAGACTCAAGCATGTACCGACACGTCAAAGGTGGCAGGCATGCGGCTGTCATCCGATGATCTCATCACCACTCTCCTAGCACAAGTGGCTGGGTCATTTGCAGGATGCCGTCTGATCGCAGAGTGCTGGTGTAACAGTGTAGATGCGATGAAGATAGTGACGGTGATGATGCGACGATGGTGAGTGCTCGCAACGATGAGGCTGACTGAAAGAGATTGCAGATGGTGCCGCCGAATGCATTCTTGCTAGTCGCACGTCTTCGAGTGGTGGCACGAAGGCTCAACTCGCAAATTACCCACGACAACCAAATGCGCAAGAACCAGGCATTTCACAAATGTGAACCCCTTACCCTGCGGTGTGTCAGTATTCGAGACAAGCTGGTGGGGTCGCGCCTGACGGGCAACTGCGAAGATGCCTGGCCCCAGCAGCAGGAAATAGGCATGCGAGCTTTTGGGGTCTAGGTGGTTCCAATTTTGGCATTGACATTTTCGGGCTTCTGGGTGCGCCGATAAGATACTGCAATACCAGGAGTCAGGAAAACAACGGCCAGCCACAGCAAGCTCAGCAGTCACGCTAAGTTAGATCAAACTCATTCTCATGATGAGAGCGCGATTTGGATGCAGACATACTTGGAGTTGGAAGTCTGGCTAAGTTGCTTGCACTGCGGAGGCAGGCCCCATAACCCTGGAGTCTCACTCTTGTCAGTGCTACAAACAGCAGCTCGAGGCTTCATTGAACTTGAGGTCGTACCCTCCAAACCGAACCCAGGAGGATTTCGGCTTGAGTGTGATGTCCTCAAAAACCACAGCAGGATTTCGGCGAAAGCTCTACACCCGGACTATCCGGATGTTTTGGGGAGTAAGAGCAGGCTCCTGCGTAAGGGTTTCGGCTGAGGCATTCCAACCTGCCCCGAGTCAAGCTGATTCAGCTTGCTTCGCAGAGCCTGGGCCATGAAGGATGCTGGGCGGGAGAACCTGGGGTTTAGGACGACTTTGGCTCCAGGTGAGCTTCATCGAAGCGTGAGTACTTCCTTTAGACCCAAAAGGCGAAGCCACCGACAGCCTTTCTTGTGCTAACACAGGAAGGGAAGCTTGAGTCAATGAGGCCCGGGTCAGGAGGCTGTGCTGGAAACCTTAAGGCTCATGATGCGAACGAACCCCAAGTTCGAGCCGACTTTCAAATCGTTCACCACCACTCACCGCTGGCATACCGGTAAGGTTGGTGATAATGATGAAGAAGATGCCTATGATACAACAGAAGCTGTACGGAAAGACAGCATTCCAACTGTGATGCTCGACGGAAAAAGTTAATTGGCTCGGAGTGTGAGGACACCCACCTGGTGTCGGGAACACAGTGGCTAGACAGTGTGAGTCATATTTGGCTGAACGAACATTTCTATTCAAAACCTCGGAGACACATGCGCTGAAGTGAACGAGCCCAGGAAACAAGTTCCAAATTTGGGTGCCTGAACTTCGTTCTGCTTTCTTTCCAGCTGCTGTCTCAGCTGCTCCTGGAAAATGCCAGTGCTTAAACCCTGGAGCCTACACACCTATCACGGAGGACCGAGGTGTCCCGCACGAAACCACAGGGGCTGGAGCCCAAAAAACATGGGAAGGGCATGCCTTTCCTCAGCTTCAAGTGGAGCTGCCACATAAAGGTTCTTCACACAAACCACGGATGGTCAGCAAGGCGTCACTCTGAACTTCAAGTCCAAATCACATCTTGCTAATACAACAAGTGGGCTTCCGAAGAGCACGACCTCATGCTGCGGCCGAGCGCAAGATCCCAAAGAGTCCACGGACTTCCCACACTTGCGTGGCAGGTTGCCGGATGGTTATAAGCTTTGTTCGGACCCTAGCCCGTCTCGGATGTTGACGATTTAAATGGACTTTACCCATGTCAAAAAGGTTGATACGATTCCCTGCTGAACTGATACGACAATGCCGAAAGAAGACGTCTGAGACCTTAATGCCAAAGCCTGAAGCTTCAACCCCTTCACGCTCTAGCTAAACGTGTGCCTGCCTCTGGCGAAAACATTAAACTGGTCTTCCGGCTTGGGTCTGAACGATGCTGCCACCCATTCCAGAACTTCCCATCAGCGGCCGCAAGAAGCCCTCCATCTCAGACCCTCCCTAGGCCCTAAGGACAGCAGAATCAGCTTCGTTCTACGAGTCTGAGCTTCGGACGAAGTACTGCAAAGATTGCAAAAAGCACTCAATGTCTCGACAGTATGCCACAGAGATTCACAAACACCATCGGCAAGCCTGCAGAAAGCCTCGCTTCCAACTAACCTAGGTCCCAGAATCAAATCCTGTCCTCCCTCTCAGCGGCAGCCCTTGAACTGTAGCATGAAGGGCTAATCATCTGGAGAATTCCGGTGCTTGCCTTGATCTGTCTCTTTTGGCCCAGCTTGGAGCCCTCCTGCAGGGTTCGGGCGTTTGGCTTAGTAACTACAGTAACTACTTAGTAACATGCGGACTCTCTTTCGACAGTGAACATGGGCACCAAAGAAGCGTGGGATGACAAACGGCTTCTGTTCTCAATCTCATGATGGGGAGAGGCGTAAGGCTCAGGAACCACCAAACCGTGGCCCCACAGGTATTGAGTCTGCAGTTTGCCAACAGCTCGGCCTGAACCTCGGTCAGACAGATTCGTAAAACAGCGGCACACCATGAACCCTTTTTGGCTTTTCTGGTCCTGGCGAGACATGCAGTCAGCGACAAGGTAAGAGCTTCAATCGGGCAATCTGCCAGAGCTACATGAAATCATCCTGTATTGCAAACCCCCCAATCTGCAACAAGTACAACAGCGCTGGGACCTTCCGGGGCCCGCCATCGTCGTCGGAACCGACCTTCCGTCAAGCGGAAGTAGGTTTCAGAGGGTCGTGAAACACAGGGGAAAAGCCGATTCGTGCACTGAAAGACAGGATTCGCACACCGGTGATTCGTTCTCTCGCACAAGCCAGAGACGTTCGACAGTCACGGCTGCCCATCAATGGTGCCTTATCGTCCAGACACTTCAACTTCGACCATCAGTTACGTCGAGACATGCAGGCCTCAATGACCTCCCCGGACGCGATCTGGGTACCGACCTGGCACGCCGGGCTTGGAGCTGAAAACCACATGAATCTTTTCTGTGCTTTCACATTGGTGCGTTCTGTCTTCCTCAATGAGCTTCTCTGTCGAAATTGGAACTCAAGTACTGGACACATGGCAGACTCGTAGCATAGGAGCCTGACTAACTTCATCGATCAAGGGTCAGCATGGGTGCGTTTTGAGTAAACCCTGCATGAGCCCCAAGCTTCCCCCTGAAAGTTGCGATGCATCAATCTCAAACGAAAAGCAGAAGGTGCATGCAGAGAAGCTTCCTTCATCCGAAGGGAATCCAAAGTGGAATCCCTCAATGTGTTGTTTGTGCCTGTGTCGTGATAGGGGTAAGAGAAGCAGCCCTTCTTTTTGTCTTTCGCGGGCTCAAGCGATCTGCTGCTGAAGCTGTCGTGCGTTCGCTTACAGCTGACTGCTGAAGCCTAGAGACTTCATGGATGTCACCTTAGAATCGAAATCCCGTAGGCAAATCCCAGTCCGAATCCCTGTGCCCAAGAAAGGAGCCCATGCTCCCTGTTCTAAGTCATCGGCAGTCATGTACGGATCCACCGTCACACCACCAGGATGAGTATGTCTCCTCTTACGAGCCTGATCCAGGTGGAGAGTCCCCAGAGATTCAAAACCAAAAACCTCTTGGGGCCTATCTATAGGGTTTAGAGTTCTAAGTCAGGGCTCTCAGCTGGAACTTTGTGTTCCTCGTCTGTCTTCAAAAATAAAAGTGGGGGGCCTTATGGGGCCTTGGGTCCTCAATCTCGTGCTTGAAGCTAGTAAGCCAACTCGGAAACGCTCGCAGCACAGACTGCAGCTTTCGCCTGCCATGTGAACTGTGCGAATGGCCTACGGAGCGGCTGCAAAAACCATCTTCATATTTCGGATTCGAGTCACTACCAGTGGCGCTTTGCCCATTCGAACTGAAATACCTCCACTTCCCAAAGCTGGCACCCCAATACAATCCGACCCCCGCCTTGAAGCCGGCCCTGAAAGGCTTTGCTAAGCTGCTGAGGCGATTGAGTGGGAGTGGACCATCCGGGCCCACGGCCCGAGGGCCAGTGGCCTGCAGCGTTAGAACGCGAAGGAGATTATTAGGCGAGAACCTGTTTGGCAGGAATACGTTTCGATGTATTGGTTCTATGAACTTGAGTACTTGCTAACAGCTAAACGAATGAACAAGGACGCATCTCTGCATAGGGTGCGACCTCCGGGCTGATGACATACCCACACATCGACTCTCTTGTCTGCTCCCTCTCCCTCCTGGCCTCCCTTTCCGCTCCGCTCGCTTCCTTCCTTTCCCGCTTGTCCATATACATATTATGTATATATATACATATATGTATCTACATAACATGCACACACAACATACTCCACTCCGGCCTGGGTGCTGCGCTCGCCCTCGTCTTCGAGAAGCGGGACCTGGCCGACTAGACGGAAGCTCATAGAGAGCAGTACCATTTCCAGAAACATGCGCCAGTACATCCACCACCACAACATTGAGGACGACGACTGCTACGACCGTGACAAACTTGGGCTATGTGCAACAGCGCAACACGCACAACAGCAGGCATTGGTGCAAAGTTGACGGCTCTCTGTCCGACTCAAGGCTAGCTTGGCATCACAAGGCTCAAGGAACGGAGACTTCTTTTGCTAAGCACAGCACAGGCGCAGGTCAGGAGATGACTCTGTCACCATGTCGACATTCCATGCGCACCAAGCGAACACTGGACATCGGCCAATTGTTGCGTGGATGCTTTTATCCACGCACTAAAGGTCAGCCCGGGTGGCTGACCCCTCGGTGCGCATGCAGCTGCCTGCACAAGACATACGATGAATTGAACCCCGTGCCGTCAACCTGGCTATAGATTGCTAAGTGCCTGGCGTGGCATCACCCGTGCTGTTTTCAGTGAGTGACTGGCCATCGCTTGTTCCACAAAGCAGGGAAGACAGGCTTCATGGACGATCATCAAAAGATAGCGCTTCGGCACATTGAGACTGTCACGAAGACCCCTCTATCAATAAAGACTGAGAAGCACACACGAGCCTGTGCGGGGTCTCTGAAGAGCAAAGAAATCCATGCCGCTAGGATTCAAGCTCTGGGAACTAGTTCAAGGACCCTGCCACGTCAATGAGATCTTCTACAGGCTCCGAGCCGGCTCACTCTGTGCTGTTCACCGTCCGGGCATGACGAGGGAGTTGCTGAAGGCCTACATGTACATTTGTTGGGACCGGGGGTGCGGGATGACCCCATCTACGAAATCGCACGTGACGTGGGTCATGACTCAGTCCCGGTAGAGGAGGTTCTGAACTGGCCAGGGTGACTACAAACGACACGGGAGCAGAAAACCTGAACTCGTACATGTCCGACTCTCGGACTAAGAAGTGATGCAAGCTAGTGTGAGCCTGTAGTCCTTTCTTCCCACGTGAAGACTTACATGCATGAATCAGTCATCTGCATAAAGGGGCTCGACAGAAGACGCAAGAAGACTTCATGTCTTCGTCCCGTCGGAAAAAGGAGCCGTGAACTGAAGGCGACGGACCTGGAGTCTCATTAGCTGTGTAGGGCCTCGAGTTCAGGTCGTGCCATTCCGTTGCTGATGGCTTCAGCTTGTAATGGGACTCCCTGACTGTTAAACCCACATGACAAAACAAAAGACATGCTCTGCCTTGAGATGCGGGATAATGGATCCCATGATCGCTGAGGAGACCACCAGGCGCACTGCCCCTGGTGCCCAGCCTGACACCAAATGGAACCAATCAACTTCGAATTGGGTTGGGAGGAATACTGTCCTAAAGCGATACATGGACCCGTCAGGCAAGCAGCTCGCGCCTCGCATAAATCTTTGAGAATCGAAAGCTTAGCGACGGACGCTGTCCGGACTCTTTGGGGCCCGGAGAACTCATGGCTTGGAGGGCATGGCGAGGGTCTGGGTCTTCGGGCATAGAAAGACTTGAGAGCTTTTTGGGTTTAGGTTAGAGACTGAGGGTTTGATGGCTTGCGCATGCTTTCGCTTGCAGGGTGCTTCAGTTTTCACGTTGCAGGATCCCCGTTTTCGTCGTTTTGAATTTGCTTCCGTTGCCAGATGGCATGGTGCGATGGCAAGGGTAACAATAATCTCTATTACCAAGACTTACTTAGTGCACGAGGTGTTCATGCTGGAGCGGAGATTTCTGCAAAATTAAGAAGCGTCTAGCCGTGCAACGTTGCTACCGCCGGATATACCGGTTGTTCGTTCGGGTCATCCATCCGAAGTTAAACTCTGTCACTCGAACCCACAATGCCTGCTCAATTCGATGCACGACTTCTCATTGAAACCAGGACTAGGTGGCTCGAAACCGGCTGAGCCACGATCCCCTAACTTCTTTGCACATGTCCGATTTGCTGAAATGATACCCTCCACCAAAACGACACTGACATGTTGGTCCTGGCACGGCCCGCCTGCCAAAATTCGTTTCGGCCCCTTGGACACAATTTCGTCCATGAAGGAGATGTTATGCGTCTTCGCCGCACGGAGCATCTCGAATGGATAGCTCACCTCTGCTTCCGGGACGGTTTGGTGTTTCAAAGCAATCAATTGCTGTGCCGATTTCGAAGGGGCTCGTCGTCGCGAGACAATGTCACTGTGAGTGTCATCATTGTGGAACCAGCTTAGTCGAGAGATTGAGACAGAAGCGACGGTAGTGAATGTTGCATACTATGTCGTGGACTATCCCTACGCGTTCTAGCTGGCAGTCCAAACGTCCAAGTCGCGAAGGACCCCAGCACTCCGCCACAGGCCCCTGCCATCATGTGTCTGGGCCCATCTGGAATGTCAAATGAGGAGCTGAGAGCCATCTCTGCGAACCTTTGGCTGACGGGTCGATTCTGCCAGCGTAGAACCCAAGCATGAAATCAGAGACCACGCACCAAGTAAACCCCGAAGATACCAGGACGACAGAACAACCAAAACCAAGACAACCAAGACGACCGCACCGGCTCCACGACGACCACGGCTACCAAGCACCGAAACGACCAGGAACACCAGGACCACTAAGGTGACCATGACGAAAACATGACGACCGCGACTACCACCAGGACCAGGACCAGCAACCAGAGCCGGCACCTCACCAGCCGACCCTGAGACAGGACGGAAGGCACCATCCACAAAAGTAGTGCACAACGAGCCCCAAAAGCCTCAGAGTGTGGCCCTGCCAGGATTTGAAGCACTTCGAATGTTTTGAGCGCACCGGCTCTCCGAAATCGTTCCCGGCAAACACTGGCGGGATTCAGAGGACCACACGAGCCCGAGTGGCTGCTACTGCTGCTACTAAAACTCCTGCTGCTGCTGCTGCTGCTGCTACCACTACCACTACCACTACCACTACCACTACCACTACCACTACCACTACCACTACCAACACCAACACCAACACCACCACCACCACCACCACCACGACCACTACCACTACCACTACCACTACCACTACCACTACGACTACTACTACGACTACTACTACTACTACTACTACTGTTTACTGCTACTA